TGGAAGATACAAAGCTTTGTATGGTGTTTTATGTTTAGAATCTATGGACTATGGAAGGAAATACATACATACACACACATATAAAATCAACCTCTTTGTATCAAGCTTAATCTATCCAGCTGCAAGGGAGATATAGCAATTTTAAGATTTAAAACACCTTAGAATTGTCGAGTATGTAAAGGTTTACGGTGTCAGAAGGCAGGACACCACACATACACACTTAAACATGGTACTAACTATAATTGTCATATGGTCTCAAAGAAAAGCCTACGAATTAGTAGAAAGAGTTTGAATTAGTAGAGAGGGGAGCAGACGGGCTTCCATGCAGGAGGACTTCTACCAGCATAGCTTGTGGGAGCTGGTAGAGGCAGTGGCGTGGATAACCAGAGTGCCTTAAGGGGCATGTTTGACCAAAAAGCCAAACTGAGTTTAAAGTATTTGGAATAAGTAGCTTATGTGCCACTCTAGGTTCTTGCACTTTTTGCCTACAACTGTCCTGATGACAACAGTGTTTTATAGAAAATTAGTCTACTGCCGTATACAAAATGATCTAAAGAAGGAGAGGCTTACTGGGGTCTGGACAATCCTAGTAGCTGTGGATGTGGAAAGGAAACAAGTTGAGCCGGGTAGGTATTAAAAAAATGTAAATCTTGTCCTCATATTAAATTGGTGGTCTCTTTGGTTTTATGACTTGTAGTACCTTCTCAAAAACAATTGTGAAAGGTGCCAAAAGGGCAGGGAAAATGACAATTGGGCGGCAGTATTTATTGAAGAGGAGGACAGGGACAATTGTGGAAGAGAGAGTGAATCGTCCTGGATGGAATGAAGAAGATGATATATCAGGTATGTGAGAACTCCTTTTTCCTTCATGAATTGGTTTTGTTCTTTCTTCTTATATGAGTAAGAATAAGAGACTCAGATATAGTTGCCCTTAAACTTTGACTCACAAGTACCTAAACCTCATAAGAAGATTGGAGGCACTTACCAGCATCTCAGAATTGGAAAAAAATATTTATTTTCCCAATATTCCATTGTTCAGATAAGATTTTGCTAAATTATACTTCTCTTTTACTAAATCCACAGAGCTGGTTGACCATTGTTACATGGGTCTCATCAAAGGGAGAAAGAAAGAAACCCCAATGCATGGGAAATTTAGGTATAAAGTAATCCCCTGTACCTTATTGTTATGCAATAAATATAAGGAAACAAGGACATTGGATATTCAAAATTAAAGATTTGAGTTTGGGGTAAGAACATTGTGGGTACTCTGAATCAAAATGAGGGACCAAAGATGAAAGGGTTCTTAGATGGTAAGAAAAAAAGTGCCTAGTAAATATTCAAAAGCACAGAATCTGAGAAGCTGAAATACCTCTCAGTTGGGAAAATAGAGGCAGGAAACCAGTCACAAAATGGCTTATTGACTGTTTTCTGTTCCTTAACCCACTATGGAGTATGTTTATGGAATTAACACTAGGGCGAATCTGATGTAATAGGAGGCAGGATACCTTTGCACCCTTTTTCTTTTCAGGATCTTAGAGTCAATCGCCAGTGACTATACCACTACTACTTCTACTAATAATAATGTCGTTTTGAAGAAAGAAACCTCATGTTTAGAGAGATCACTGGCTAAAGGTCTCCATTTCAGTAGGTGTACCTACATACTCTGAGAGCAATGAAAAGACCCACCATTGCATTACTGGAATGACCATTTGTTGGAACCCTGGCCTCCTTAAGAGTCACATGGAAAGCCGTAAAGACATTACCCATTGGTATTTGACTCTTCTAATTTGAAGTTCTTATGACTACACAGAAGAAAAACTATTATTCTATGATATTTATTCTACCAAAAGACCAAATTATATAATGCTCTTTGCTCCTCTGAAAATAAAAAGCCAACAGAAAACTGGTACCGGATGGTATATTTGCATTGCGAAGTTCACAGACTAAAACACAAAGTCTTGTATTTGTAGGGATAAGCTGTTACGGGTTTTTTTTCTTTATTTTATTTTTTTTAAGATTTTTAAATTTATTTACCTGACAGGGACAAAGCGAGAGAAGGAACACAAGCAGGGGGAATGGGAGAGGGAGAAGCAGGCTTCCCGCTGAGAAAGGACCCCCCCCCCCCAGAACCCTGGGATCATGACCTGAGCCGAAAGCAGATGCTTAATAACTGAGGCACCCAGGCACTCCCTTTTTTATTCTTTTTCTTTTTTAAATTTTATTTTATTTTATTATGTTATGTATTTTTTTTCTTTAAATGGAAAAGAGCCATATAATTCCCTTTGACATTAGAACTTTGAGTACATACATATCCAAAAATTCTGAAAACTTAATTTGATTTCTCTCACTGTAGAAATAAATAAGAAAGTAAATTAGTACAGTTTTTAACATGGATTTTTTTTTTCTTTTTTTAGTTAGAACATGCAGTACAATTAGGAATGTTAGGGGTTTTTCTTAAATCCTCCCTAAATGCTTGATTATTGGATAAATCCTTCCACATCTAAAATCTTAAGTGATTCTGTAACCTGTGATTGCAAAATTATGAGGGAGTTTCCCATGTATACCACATCCTCTGACAAAAATATTTTCCACAAAAAAAGTATAACCTCTTGATACCTCTCTAAGGTCTTTTCCCACGAGTGAACTTCTGCCTAATCTAGAAATTTCTAAAAAAGTTTATGTTCTGAAAAGTTAACTGAAACCTGGATGATGAAGTTTGTATAGTGATCATATTAAAGATAAATTTTACTGATGAGTTAGCCTCTAACAAAATTTGAGTGTTTATTTTATAGTCCTAAACAGAAATCACTATACTTTGGCATTAATAAGTAAGTCTGATTGAAACAGAAAAATATGGCTGATGAATTCAAAATTCTATTATTTTTAGAAAATTTGAGTTAGTTTCCCTGGCATTTTCAAAGTTTATTTATTTATTTATTTAAGTAATCTCTACACCCAATGTGAGACTCAAACTCACAACCCCAAGATCAAGAGTCGCATCCTTTTCCAGCTGAACCAGCTAGGCACCCCCTTCCCTAGCATTTTGAGCCCCTGATGTTTTATTTCCTGACTATCCATTACGGTTTTAATTTATGTTTGAACATAATGATTCTTCAAAGAATTAACAGGATTTAATATATACATAGTGCCTGTAGCCCTAATATAAACCACTCTTGGTTTAAGCATCCTCTTCAAAAGGAAGCTTCTAATCCTCTACTTTGAGCCACATCATTTTTTCAAAATCTGTTTCTGCCTTCACAGTTTCAGATGATAGTGAACTCCCCACAAGTACCACTCTGAAGGCCTCGGAGAAGTCCACCATGGAACAGTTAGTGGAAAAAGCTTGTTTCAGAGACTATCAGCGTTTAGGTCTGGGAACCATAAGTGGCAGCTCTTCTCGCTCAAAACCAGAGTATTTTCGAATCACTGCCTCCAACAGGATGTATTCACTGTGCCGGAGGTAAGTCTGTTAGCGGGCTCCAAAAAGACGCCTTCCCTTTCTTCTGCTTTGTCTTGAATGGGCTATTTGTCATCATAACCCAAAGGGAGAAAAGCAGGAGCAGGGTCTCCAGGGATATGTGTGTTTCAGGGACATTTTTTAGCAGCATGAGCAGGCATTTCCTTGGCATTCTCAGAAGTATAATTATATCAATGAATAGTGCCTAGATTAGAGCAAAAGGTGAAAGGTAGAAGTTTTTGTCTTCTTTAGGATTTTTTTTAGTTGTCTTTCTCTTCCCATTTGCATCTTTTCTACCATGACTGAAGATAACTTGAAATAAAGACAGGATTTTCCCAGGCAGATAAGAGAAATGGTCTGCTGTAGGCCAGGGGTCTACAAAATTTCTCTTTAAAGGCCCCGATAGTATGCATTTTCAGTTTTGCAGACCATACGGTCTCATTGCAGCTGCTCTGCCACAAAAGCAGCCATAGATGGTAAATAAATGAGTGGGCGGAGCCTGTTCGGGCCCACACTTTATTTGTTGACCCAAGTGTAGACAGGGTTTTCTTATGCTAATTAGAATATTTTCAAGGGATATTAGAGAATGGAAATGAACATGTTTTCTTCTATTCTTGTTATTTCTCACTGTTTCCTCTATCAGTTAAGTTCTATTCCACGCTCTATATTTATATTTATTAAAACTACATTTCCACTACCCACAAGTTTAAGCATTTTCATCTCCAGGTAAGTTGTTTCCTTTGCATTCATAAATTCCCAGTTTGATTGAATAGAATAATGCTATGAAAGTACTTTGTATATTGTCAGCCTTGTACATATTTTAGAAAGTTATCTTAATGTTACTATTAGTTTCAACCCCTCTGATCCTGAAAAGCTATAGATATCTTATTTTAAATGACAGTTTAAATTTACAAATACCTGACCACCCAACACATGAAAAGATGCTCAACATCACTCATCATCAGGGAAATGCAAATTAAAACCACAAGGAGATATCACCTCATACCTGTCAGCATGACTAAAGTCAAAAAGACAAGAAACAGGTATTGGTGAAGATGGTGGAGAAAAAAGAACCCTTGTGCACTGTTGGTGGGAATGCAAACTAGTACAGCCACTGTGGAAAACAGTATGGAGGTTCCTCAAAAAGTTAAAAGTAGAGCTACCCTATGATCTAATCATACTACTGGGTATTTACCCAAAGAATACAAAAATACTAATTCAAAAGAATATATGCATCCCTATGTTTATAGCAGCGTTATTTATAATAACAAAATTATGAAAGCAGCCCAATAGATGAATGGATAAAGAAGATGTGGTGTGTGTGTGTATGTGTGTGTGTGATGGAATATTACTCAGCCTTAAAAAGGAATGAAATCTTACCACTTGCAACAGCATAGATGGATCTAGAGAGTATAATGCTAAGCAAAATAAGAGAAAGACCAATACCACATGATTTCACTCATATGTGGAATTTAAGAAACAAAACAAATGAACAAAGAAAAAAAAGAGAGACAAACCAAAAAACAGACTCTTAACTATAAAGAACAGACAGATTGTTACCAGAGAGAGGTAGATGGAGGGATGGATGAAATAGGTGATAGGGATTAAGAGTACAGTTATCTTGGGGTGCCTGGGTAGCTCAGTTGGTAGAGCATCCAACTCTTGATCTCAGCTCAGATCTTGATCTCAGGGTTGTGAGTTCAAGCTCCACATTGGTCTCCACGCCGGGTGTGGAGCCTATATTTAAAAAAAAAAAAGAGGAAGAAGAGCAAACATACTCAAACGCAAATATATGGGATTGGAGGTTGGGAGGTTTCTAACATGAAATCTCTTTGGAATAATATTTCTAAATAAACTAAAGGAAATGACTCTGAAACCTGCCTATCTTCTTGTGTTTCCTAATCTGTAAAAACAAAGTACTCCTGTCTGTTTTGTATTTTCCCAGCGTCATATCCTGTAACTTTATGAGCTAATCTTTTTTAAAAAATTATCAACATGTAGTGTTAATATTTAAACTTATTTTGACATTTGAACATACTGTTCTCATACCAAAAATCATTTGGTTTTGATTTTTAGTTCTTTCACCATCTCAGGCAGGCTAATACTAGTGTATTCTGTTCTCACTTGTCATTTCAGCAGACTATTGAATTGATAATTTGGCTTGTCATCCTCATAAAGTTGATATTAATCCAGTAATCTTACAATCTTTATTTCAAGTGGACAAAAAATAGTGTATAAGGCAAAGGGAATCATCAGTTTAACAGAGGCCTTTTTAGTAATTCTACATAGGATTTTTATTTTCTAAGTTTAGGTTATTCCACACAAGTCTGCATGTCACTAAAGGGGACTTATTTCAAAAAAGACTACAGATTATGGATTTATTTAGCTGTTTTCACCATCTCGGCTGGTTCTTCTCAACCCCTGGAGAACTGAGTTGAAACTAAGTTCCATGTTTAAAAAAAGTATCTTAACCTTCAACCAGTATGTTTCTGAGCCTTAGAAAATTATGGGATATGATGATATTCGTGTTCTCATATTCTCTCTCTCTCTCTCTTTCCCCATTTCTTTCCTGTTCTCCCCCCCCCCACCCCCAATCCCAATCATTCTCTTTCTCCTTTCCATGTCCCTGAAGCTATCCTGGCCTTTTAGTTGTACCTCAAGCTGTGCAAGACAGTAGTTTACCAAGAGTTGCCCGCTGCTATCGACACAATCGCCTGCCTGTTGTATGTTGGAAGAACTCAAGAAGCAGTACCCTGCTTCTCCGATCTGGAGGATTCCATGGGAAGGGAGTAGTTGGTCTTTTCAAATCTCAGAACTCCCCTCAGGCAGGTAAGCATCTCTCTACAGCACAGTTATGATCATTTCACTTCAGAGAATTCCTAAAACTAAAGGAAGTAATATCTGGGAATGCCAATTGTGCCCTTATATTGAGCCTTCTCTCACACGCAGGCTTTCCACTGTGCAATATAAATCATGTACTACTTGACAATGTGGGGTTACACCTTGAATTTGACATCTTGCTTAGTATGTCTGTCTATATTTGGATTTTAATAGAAATCATCATAGTAAAGCCTTTGGTTCTAGGCTATTTTCATTTCAGCAAACCAAAGTATCCACAGATGGAAACTAGATTATGCTAATCTTTCTCTTTCCTTCTGGGAAGCATCCAAATGTATTTAACAGCTTCAGAGGCAAGTAGGGATTCTCTGTCCCATGTAATATGAGATATTTTATCTCATTCCTACAAGTCACATGCACACACACAAACAAGTCAGCAAACTAATGACCAAAATGCTGCCTTTAAAGAAGTTCTCAAGCAAAGGATATTTTAGGAAGCTAGAGGGAAGCCAACTTAAGAAAGCAGATAGTACTGCTGTCCTTTTTTCTGAGGATATTTTTAAGCACTATGTTTGAGGTCTTGAAGTTAGTCAGGAGCTATATTTTGCTGACTTTTCCTGTAACTTCTAGTTTATAGTAGATGTTCAATAAAATTAAACAATAGACCACCAAGATACCAGATCCAGTTTAGGTTTGGCTGTGTTCTTAACTCTTTGGAAATGAGGTAAGTCAAGTTCTGTGGGTCAGCAGGTAAAACCATGTACTTTTGTTATCTCCTTTTTATTCTCATCCGTTTTCCTCCTGAAAGTTAAAAGTTGGCCAGTATGTCCTTGACCATTCACTTGACTGAGGGCAGCACACACACAACATATCATCATCATCATCATCATCATCCCACCTGTCTTGGAGTCTCAACATTGGTATAATTAAACACAATTGGCTTTGAACTATTTGGACACTGGGAAATCCTCCCAAGCCACACAGTAGATATAATAGAACACAGCATATAAGTTACGTAAAGTGAGGGAATCATTTCAGGAGCCATGATAAATATATCACTGAGCTTCTCATTGGAAAAAAATTGAAATTATTTTATTACACTGCTTTCTAATATTTTTATTCTAATATAAAAATATTTCGTATTTTTGAGCTCACACATATGCTTACATTTTAATATCTTTGAAATTGGGATGCATCCTAACATTTATGTGATCAGAAAGAATTGTCAAAGTTTAAATGGAAGAATTTTTAATTCTTAGTACATAAGATAATGGTACATCTTATAATTAATGACATCTTAGAGTTTATAAAATACAATAATGGCATCTTAAAGTTTATAAAATATAATTTTGCTAATTATTTTTTTATTGAAGATGTAAGAAAATTTGTTAATACCTGTTGTCCTTCTAATGAGCCCAGCATGATGCCTCTTTAAAGTGCCTGGGCCAGTTTCAGTGATTCTTTGCTCCATACAAACCAGACTCAGACTACCTCCAACCTAGAATTGCATTCACATTTGTTTCCCTCTGTGCATACCCTCTGCCCCTCTCTTAGAAGGACCAGGGAATCTGGCAGTAGCTGTTGCTACCTTCTCCCCATCTTCCTCCACTCTTCCTGCAACAAACCCCTACAAGTTCATGTGCCCTGTTAGACCTGTGTGGCAGAATTAGAAGAAAGCTGCTGGTATGGGGAATTCTCACCTCTGCCCACTCTGGGATGCCAAGGGAACCCACTCCATCCTCTGCTTCCAGACAGTAGCATGGACAGGATAATTGGGGGAAATCATCAAGGAGATGTTGCCTTTTGTGACTCTTCATTTTGAGTTGCTTGTATAATGAGAAGCTACTCCTGTGCTTGGAAGGACAGCTCTGTGCTGGTTTTCCAGACCTGGGCTCTTTCTGGGAGGATGATGAGGCAACCAAGAAGTAGGTGTGGTGAAACCAGTATTAAAGGAGGATAGCCATCTAATAGTTTACAGCTTAAAGTGGGTCTGGTTCCTATATTTGGGTGTGGTAACTTGAAGATTATATACAGAAAGAATAAGATACTTAGGTAGATAGCTCTTTTATTAACATAGAGACAGTTTGTTTTATTCACTTTTTCTTTTATAGCTCCTACCTCCTCTTTAGAATCTTCCAGTAGCATAGAACAAGAAAAATACCTGCAAGCCTTACTGAATGCAGTTTCTGTCCATCAGAAACTCAGTGGCAATAACGCCCTTACGGTCATGCCAGCACTTGCCCTGTCTCCAGGTAAGATCTGATAATATTTCCTTCTTGACAACTATGAAAGGTCAGATTCATTCTAACCCAGGGTTAGTCTCTTTAGTTATTTATACTGTTCCTTCCATATGACCTCTTAAAGCTTTACCCTGTGGGGCTATAACGTTAGCTCCTTTTACTTAAAAATCGGCATACCACTGCTAATGTCTAGTAACAGTAACCAAATGTGGGGATTCAATTATTTCCTTTTTAAAAGAATAGTAGGAGTGGGGAACATCAAGTCATCTTTTTTCCTAGAATTGTTTTTACATAGACTTGAACATATTATTACAAAGTTGAATGTATAAGGTGAACCCCTGATTATTTAAATGCATATGTAGTAAATCATTGTGTGTAAGTTTGAAATTCCTGAAATTTCTGCAGCCTTTTATGATTTGTAGTACAGTTTGTTTTCACTAGATTTGGATGAAGCCATTAAGACTTGTACTAATATTCTGTTTCAGTTATCATGTGATGGAACCCCAAAGGGTTCATGTAGAGGTAACCCTAATGTGTTAGACACAGGAGCATGTGACTTGAAAAGTTGGTCTCCTTGGCTTAATCAGCTATTTGAATTAGCTCAACATAAGCAGAAAGTGGCTTTTCTTGTAAAGTAACACCATGCATGCCTTGCTTCATTTATCATTAAATTCTCTGATTGCACTTGCCAAACCTAACTCTCTATAATCTTGCAAATGTGTGTATCTCTGAGGAAATAGTAACAGTGCCTTGTTATCTCTATTAAAGCTGTGAGTACTTAAAAAGTACAATGTTTGGCAGCAATTAGACATGCTACACATGAAGATAACTTTTTGTCATTTGAGTAATGTTAACCTGAACGACATGGTTTTTGTTCTTCTTTTTGGCTGACTTTCAGGGACTGAAAGGAGGACTTCAAGAATGTCCACTGTGCTTAAGCAGGTAGTGCCAGGACATTTGGATGTAAACCCATCCAATAGCTTTGCTCGAGGAGGTTAGTAAGATTGATTTTATAACTGAGCACTGATACGACCTTAAAATCAGAAAACTTTAGATAGTGATATTTTAAATCAACTAATTATGGTTCAAATTGTTCTTAATTACCCTTTCTAAAAAATAAATTATCCAATTTGTTACTGGTGTCATGACAGATGAGTTTAGCCTTCTGGAACAAGAGGCATAATAATTGCTGAAATCTTAGATATTGATGAGTTTGGAAGCCGCGGGAGGTAAGGGGAACATGTCTAAATGGTCAGCCCTGCGAATAGCCTACAATGCTTCAGGTTTGCAGGGTAGCAAAGCTGATCACAGAACATAAGCAGCTAGAGAAGAATAATCTGAGACCCAAAGAGTTGTGCCTCCCCAGTGCCTGTAATTTTTACTCCTATTCTCTGAAATACTAGGTTAGGGAACAAAAGAGAATGATATCCAGGTTACTCTTTTTTTTCCTCTGGGCTTTCGCTGCTGGCATAAGGAAGCAGAGAAAGGCTTGTATTTGCTCTTTTAGCTCCAGAGGTGGTCCATTTTGGTCTCTGGAGATTATGTGAGATTCTTTTACATTTCAGAGGAAATTCCAAAGCAACTATCTTGATTGTAAAATCTCCTACTTCACACTGGATTCATAGAATCTTGGGCTTTTCCTCTCACTCCCATGCAATGCTGAATCCCCTTGAAAACATACCAAGTGAATGATCCAAGTTACTTGAACATCATCAGTAATGGGAAACTCATTTCTTCCTAAAAGTAGTCCCTTGCATTTGTAAGCAACTCTGTATTTGTTAGAAAATTCTTTCTCATATTGATCTAAAAATCTGCCACTATGTGACTTTTACATATTGGTCCTAGCTCTGCCCTCTAGAGTTAGAAAATTCTAAATCTTGATCTCCATACTACAGCCCTTCGGATTTAAAAGCTGATATCATCTTTTCGCTCTGAGAACTTTCATTAACTCCAAATACCCCAATTTGAATGGTTGCTTTCTGTTTACCATCTTTGGCACTCAATGAACTCTCCATAGGTTTGAACTCATGCAGCCTCAAATTACATTAGTTATGAGGATGGGCCCATCACTAGGTTGACCCATACTGACATTAATATCACTTGAAATCTCTTCCCATGTGCTGTTGTTCTTAACAATATATAGTACTAGCCTTGAGGGTTGATTTTTGAACCTAAATATACTATGTACTGCACCTACAAAATTCCATCCTTTTTTATATGGACTATTGTTTTAGACTTTGGATCCTGATTCTGTCTACCTATGTATTAGCCTCTTGTCATGCATCAGTTTGACCTCTGCTGTAATGTAATTTGTTGTTTAAAAAATATTGAACAAGCCAGACCTAAGGGCAGAAGTCTTCATCAAAATAATTTAGAAGCCTGGGGCGCCTGGGTGGCTCAGTTGTTAAGCATCTGCCTTCGGCTCAGGTCATGCTCCCAGGGTCCTGGGATCGAGGCCTGCATCGGGCTCCCTGCTCCGCGGGAAGCCTGCTTCTCCCTCTCCCACTCCCCCTGCTTGTGTTCCCTCTCTCGCTGTGTCTCTCTCTGTCAAATAAAATCTTTAAAAAAAAAAAAATTTAGAAGCCTCCCTGAAGAAAGAGATTGTCTGTTAATATATACTGGTTAAAAGTCCTACTAAAACCCATCTGGCCCATATTTCTAAATCTCTGCCAATCTTTTTAATTCGATATTTTCCACTCTTTCCAACTGTTAACTATATCACAAAAGATTATATGTTTAGTTTACCATGACTCATTATAGGAATTAGTGCCTTTTCCTAAGTAATCATAAATTATCCATTAGTAATCCATCCTAGAATTTGGTTCAGAATCAACATAAAGGAAGGCTCTGTTTCACAAAATTCACTTTTTCCCCTTTGAAGACCAAGATTACTACGCACATCTCCTGGCAGTCATACTGGTTCTTTAGATACTTTTTTTTTCTACCCATCAGAATATTCTGCAATTGCAGGATTTCCTAATAGCTTTCAACCTTCTTCACTCATCTTCTGAATTAGGATTTCAGGCCTGAAGGTCATTGTCTTAGTTTGCTAGGACTACTGTAACAAAGTTCCACAAACTGGTTGTGTTAAACAATGATTGTCTCACAGTTCTCTGGAGACTAGAAGTTCAAAATCAAGATGTTATCAGGATTGGTTCCTTCTGAGGGCCATGGGGCAAAATCTGTTCCATGCCTCTCCCCTAGCTTCCGGTGGCTTGCTAGCCATCTTTGGCATTCCTTAGCTTGGTAGAAGTATCACCCAGATACCTGCCTTCATCATTATATGATATTCTCCCTAGGTGTCCATCTCCAAATCTTCCCTTTTTATAAGGACACCAGTCATATAAAATTAGGGGTCCATCCCCCCCCAGTATGACCTCATCTTAACTAACTACATCTGCAATAACCCTATTTCCAAATAAGATAACATTCTGAGGTACTGGGGGTTAGGACTTCAACATATGAGTTGGAGCAGAGGCATATAGTTTAACTCATAATAGTCATAAAAAGCTTTCCTCTGAATTTTTAAAATACCATTGTTTAAAAGTTTAAGATACATACCTCATTCTTATCATTTCTTGGTGAATTTGAACCAAAAAAATACTGCAGTGACTGTCTCCTAAGGTTCCTGCCTGCTATTCCCATTGTCAAGAGCTCCGATCAGAATTTGGCTCAAAGTTGCAGTTCCCCTTATTGTTTTGTTTACCATCTGAAAGTTTATATTGTCAGCAAGGCATGTCAACAGTTTTTCTATGCTCTGCTCTTGAGTTTTGCCTTTGTAAATTTCATCAAGAACACATTATTTATTCCTCCATTTGGCCAGATGACTTGTAAGATAAATTTCAGGTAAAAAATTACCTCTTCTATCTTAGTACCTAAGGCTCATGGATATTCACCAAAATGTTTCACCTACATTATCTTCTCTTATTTAATACTGGCCTCAAACTCAGCCTTTTTTATGCAAGGGGATCCCCATTTGTGGTTACATTCTAGTCATGACTTCATTCTTTGCTATTCTCAAAGGTACCAAAAAGGCTATATTTACCTCTTAGGGTCAAAATCTCCTATTTAATTTGTTTCTGACCCATTCTATGCATAATGAGGCCATAATTATTATTTCTGACACCCTTCCCAAATATTTTCTTCTGAAAATTACTATGAACTTAGTGTGTTTCCTTATGACAGTTTTTTGCCCATCATCCTGGTATCTTAAACTAGGATCCAGAAACACAAATCTTATTTTTTTATTCCATCTCTTAATTATTTTCTCCCAAAGCCTCCCAAATCTTCCAGCGTCCCAGTGGTTAACTGGAAGATGAGATACTGCTGTTTCCTGGCACCTTCAACTTCTTCCCTGATCCCTAGAGCTGCTTCCTTTGTCTCTTCGAACAGTATCATCCTCTTCACATAGAGTAGCAGGAATGGACTGGGGCAAGCAAGTTTGGGAAGTCTTAGAAGATTCCTTATTAACATGACTGTCACAGGCAGACACACACTCAGACAGGCCAGGGCAAGACAAGGTGTAGACACTTGCACACCCTGTAAATAGTTCATTTCCTTGTACCTCCCCTCAGTGAGAGTCTCTTCATTTTTCCAGATAGCTAGGCACACTTCTCCAGAAGTTCTT